CCTGGGGAGGGAGGGAAGGAGGGAGGGAGGGAGGGAGGGAGGGAGGAAGGAAGATGAGGACTGGAGAACAGTACAAGGGCCAGCCACGAGGGGCCCGGCTACAGGAATGGCCCTTCCGGTAGCCAGCCCAAAGGTTGAAGGCTTCTGATAGTTGGAGAGGCAGCAGAAAACTTACTTGTTTAACATCTTGTTGCTGTTTTTCCATTTGTCCCAAGACAGAACTCGAAGGATCCACTCCTTTCAAGGAGGAGGAGAAGGGCAGAGGGAGGGTTAGCGTAATGTGTTTGCATGGATTCCCCATCCCCAGACTTTGTCATTCTCAATACCCCCTTACTGTGTTGTCTGAACCCTTTCAGAGGCAGTGAGTGTACCCTTCCCCCAGGAACTCCAAGTTGGCCTCCTCATAATGTTCAACCCCCCGGGTGTGGACAATGAAGCTGGGTAACAACCCCGCTCCCCATCTGTCCAGGGAGGCTCCAACCTAGATTTCCACTGGTTGCTTCCTCTCTTCAGAGGGGAGGCTAGGAAGATGGTGACACAAGAACCTTCGTTCTCTGTGCTTCTGGCAGAGAAGGGGGCCTGGCGTGGGTTCTGGGCAGGCGCAAGCCCTCTTGATTGCACCCACTTGACCCTGGTTAAAAGCCAACTGGGCTGGGCCCGGCAAGACCTGGCGTGCCAAATAAATCTTGAGCCGAGGCCAGTGCCTGGCGGGGATCCCTCAACCGAGCAGAACTTGCCTCGGACACGCTGGAAGGCCACTGGGCCAGGCTGGTGGTGAGGGTCCACTCTTTCAACCTATGGAGAGAGACCGCGGGTGAGTAGCTGGGAGCAAGGACAGGAGGGGAAGCTCCAGATCCAGGATGGCACCCCCCACCCCATTTTTTACACATAAACTCCATGCTAACTGCAACCATCTGGCTCAGAAGCGACTGTTTATGTTGGTAAGGATTCTCATCCTGACATGAAGGGGGATTTCTACTGCTGGATCAGGCCCTGCCTCAGGCATAAGCCCGGGGGCTCCACTGGATCTGAATACTCCAACCTAGAGTCGGAGGGGAAGGATGACAGCCCAGTAGCCCTTTGGGCTTTGGCCTTGGAAGCATCGGACTGGGGCAAAACCGTCGATCCCTGGGGGACCCCCACGAGGCTGCCGATGAACAATGAAAGAGCTGTTGGCCTGAGCAAGGGCCACAAAGGGAGAATGGGGGGGGGGCTCTGCCTCTTCCCTAGGAGAGAACAGATGCGGCGGAGCCAGCTTTGCACACATGCGCCTGTGCGTGGGGGGGCCTGGGCCGCAGCGGCCTCCCGCAAGGACTTACCTACAAGCTTCCCTGCAGATTTGCTGGCAGCCCAGCTGCTCTTTCACAAACTGTTCGTGCAGCTTGTAGTAGCAGTACACTGCAGGGGAACAGGGAGGAGCGTGATGGGGGACGGAGAGTGGGAGGGGGCCTACACTTCACCAGGAGCCAGGAGGAGAAAGCATATCGGAGGGAGCCCGAGAGCGGGCAGGGAGAGACCCGGGGCAGCGCCAATTGTCCCTGCTGCCTCAGAGAAGGCAGGGGTCTCTTGGGGCCTGCTTTCCAAATCTTGGGAGGGGAAGGAGAGGCAGATGGGGGTGGGCCAGGGGCAGCCCTCGGGAAGCAGGAAGAGCCTGTCCTGGTCGCCACTTTCGAGGGGCTTCGTGCCTGCTTGCGAGGGACCCACGAACCTCCCAGAGGGACTTACTCCAGTTGGGGAATTTCTTATAGTTGCAGAATTCGGCTCCGGCAGGCAGGGGCTGAGCGTACTGGGCACACCCGCAGGTTTTCACCATCGAATTCTGGAAGCAGGAATGCAGGCAGATCTGCACCGGGGGAATCAAATGCTGGTGAAACCACAGGGCAAGAGACCCGCACAGTGGCCTTCTTCCTCGTAATCCCTAGGAGCCGCGGGAGGGGGGCCCATGGGGGGCTTGAGGCACAGCCCGCTTCATTGTGTTGAGCATCAGTGGGCTCTGCAGCTGCTGAAGCAGGTTGCAGTTACCCCTGGGCTGGCCATGGAGATCCCCAAAGAAGTCAGCCTAAGTTTGCTGAATTGCTGCAAAGGGGTGGCGGCAGGGGACTTGCTGAATCTGGGCCAGCTCTGACGTCTCCCCCTTCAAAGCCAGCCTGCACGGAAGGCCACAGGCTGGGTGGGTCAGGATGGGCTCACCTGCAGAGCATAGGTTTTGTTGTAGAGGTTCTCCACAGGAACATCGGCTCCATCCTCCGTGCAATTGCTGTATGGCTGGCTGAGGCGATGCGACATGGTCTGCAGTGTGGCAAAGAAGAGTTCTGTTGGGGAGATGACTGGGAGAACCCAGGGAAGGGGGCTTTGGAGCCCCAAGGTGAACACCCCTTCTCCCAACTGATCCACTGCTCAAGGAAGGCCTCTTTCTGACCTGCAGAGGCAGAACAGACTGCACAAAAGATGCAGCTTTGTCACTTTGTTTAGCTTTGACCATGGCAGAGCAGGGCAAAGAATGTGCTGAAAACCCGCATTTCCCAAAGCGCCTCTAGCCCCTGCTTCCTGGGCACAGAGACCTCGAGACGGTGGTACTCACAAAGTGCATTCCAATGGAGGTGGCTGTGGCTGTCTCAATCTCGGTGCCAATGTCCTCAATGAAGGGGTATTCATCTTGATCGTGGATCACAATCTTGGCTCCCGTGGATGTCACCAAGAAGGGGTTGTAGTCTGCTTCCTCTATGTACAGGATCACCTGAAGTCCTGGGCAGAGAAGAGGGAGCAACTCGAGGCCCTGCTGGCAGAAGGAGCAGGACCAAGCAGCCCTGGAGGCCCCCTGGCCAGGTTGGTGGGGCTGAGCTCCACAATATGGGAACACCTTGGCCTTCTCCCAGCATATGAGGCTGCCTACAAAAAAAGTTACCCCCCCCCCCAAAATCTACCAGGCATACAATCAAATTAAAGTTTTGATTGCTACCAATTGCTGCTATCTATTGATCATCCATATTTTTTCAGCCCAGATCTGTTAGCCTGTGATGAGACGCCATCAGCCGTTTAACCCCAAGGAGAAAGCTTCAGTCCAGGGCAAAGGTTCCACAATGCTTCCTACTGCTACAGCAAAGTCAGGGGAAATACTTTGATTTCAGCTACCCTCCCTGGATGGGCCCACTCAACCTGGACAAGGCAGTCTGATATTCAGGCCCTGAGCCACACAGGGCTTTAACAGTGACAACCAGCATCTTGAATGGCACCTGGAAGCTACCTGACAATCAATGCAGCTTCCATAATAGCAGGGTTACATAAGTACCCGGCCTATTGCATGCTGTCCTGGCTGAAGCTTCTAAATGGCTTTCAAGGTCAGCCCCAGGTAGAATTACAGTAGTCCAAACGTGAGCTGATGAGGGCACAAGTGGTGATGCATAATGCCTTCTGATCCAGGAATGACAAGTAGCACACAAGATGTCATTTTGCAAAGGCCCTCCTGGACACAGTCTTTGCCTGCTGTTCAAGCAGCATCCGTGAGCCCAGGATCCTCAAGATGCAAGCCGGATCCATTCAGAGACTGCAACACCATCCAAAGCTAAAGATGGACTACCAGCCTCTTGAACCATAGTCTTGTTAGGATTCAGCTTCCTGTCCAGTGTGGGTGAAGATACACAGTTGGGTATCTTCCACATAATGATGTCATCTCACTTGTCAATGGATGACTTTTCCCAGTGGCTTCATACAGAAGGGAAGGGCCAAATTCTGTGGCACCTCACAGGAGAGCAATCTAGAGGCCCAATGCCAAGAATCTCATTAGGAAGCTGAGAGGTTGAAGTGGGTGTCCTTCAGATCTATGGAGATGAATCACTCTCCTCAGTGGAGCAAGAGGAAAACATTGCTAGGAGTCATTATTTTGCATTCCCCAGGCTTGCCAGTGTTCAAATCCTGAAGATCCAGGACAGGGCAGAAAACCCTCTAGTGTGATAGATGGTAGTGCCCTGAGTAAACTCCTTCTCTTGGACTAAATCAGCAGGAATATCAGTGTCCTGTGTAGATGTGTGCTGAGAATAACTCCTCTAAGAGAGATGGTTGGATGGTAACAAACTCTTTCTAGAGAAAGGGACACTGATTTTATTATGAAACAAGCCAAGATAATAGTAGCCATCTACTGATCAGAGATAATGTTCTGCCACATGTTGAGGAACTCCTGAAGTGAGAACCGAGGAAAAGAGCAGCTAAGCCTTGAATGTCAATGACTGTGCTTCCTATTCATTGAGCAAGTATTCCAGCGCTTTTTCTCCCAATCAGTAGTACTGTTGGGCTTCACTGAACAATCCCTTGTCATTGACTACAGTAGTCATCGACTGTATGTTCCCTCAATCATATGAGGAAAGAACCTGCTGCTATTTTGAGTAGGAAATTGGATCACAGGTTCAAAAGATGTCTTTTGTCTCCAACAGCAAACATTGTTAATAGGCGATAGAAACATGGCTAGCTACCCTCATGCATGGCTAAGCTGTTGCTGTTCACTTTAATTCATATGGAGTAATTTCAAGGTTTTGTACCTCTAGTCTCCACTAACTCACTCATTTGGAGGATTGGGCCAGTGAATGCCTTTGCATCCTCTGCAGGAGACCCTGGGGTTTGGTTGCCAATGTTGGCATCACGAGACAAAATGGAGGAAGAAGATTCAAGATTGGAAACTTGATTGTCAGTTCCTGAAGAAGAGGAACAGCAACAATGGAAGGAGCAGAGAGAGATGCAGGTATAAAATCTAGACAGGAACTGCTGGCTGCTGGGAATCCCAGGAAACTGATAGTGGAGATGCTCCTGGAAGACTTATAAAATAAATGAAGCTGCTCAAAAACGCCTTGGGTGGCACAGTGTGAGGAAGGTGGAACCAAGGATGCAGCTTAGAACTAAAGATGCATTGCCAGATGAAAAATAGGCCAAGTAGCTGGCAGGAGGCACCTGCAGCAGAGCAAGGATTTCGAACTGAAGGACCAGAACTCAAAAGGAGCATCAAGGCCCACCCTAGGACAGCAACTGAGGTGAGCCTAGACCACAATTTCTCTATTTTTCAGCATCATCTTTCAGAAGGGATGTTGTTAAATGGGCTTATATGAACAGCAAATCCAGATGAGGAGCAGCTCCTAGATATCAATAGTTAGGGAATGGTGGTGAGGTTACTTAGTTGCGGCAGTGATAATGGTGAGGAGGGAGACATGATTAGTAGGGTAATAACCAGGCGATCAGCACCCAGAAGTGGCGACCAGGCAAGCAATGGTCCCAAACAGAGGCAACAGACCTCGGGATGGATAGAGCCTCAGCCAGTTGTGCAACCAATGGGGATGACAACTTGATGTGAAAAGGATACTGGAACAACAACAGTCACAATCCTGATATGCAGAAGATCTTATAGGGGTGAGACAGATGTTTTTGTCATCCAATAAGGTGGTCGGTTTCCAGCGATGGAACTGCAGAGAGTGTGTGTGGAGAAACCACAGTTGCTCCAAAGGCTCAGGCTGGCTGTGGTCTCAGAGAAACAGGCTGAGGTGTCAACTGGCGATGAGCCCAACAGAGGCCCAGTGGCCCTGCTACCGCTGGGGGTGTCCCCAGCCTCCTACTCCCAAGGAGCCGATCCTCACTCCTGCCGGTGAAGACGCTCCCATCGAGCCCGAGCAAATTCAGCTGCTCCACTGCCCCTGGGCTGCCAGGCGGAGCTGGCAGGGAGCGCGATGGAGGCTTCTGCTTGGGTGCCTCCTCTGGGAAGCACGAGTCCGATATCTCCGACCTGCGTTCTGACAGAGAGGCTGCCTTTATAGGGCCTGGCCAGCCCAGGGCATTGGAGGCCACGCTGTGCAAAAGCAGGACCTTAACTGCTCCTGGAAAGGCAATGTAAATAAAAAGCGGGTCGGGGGGGGAACTTGGAGCCCTTGGCTCGCAGAAGGCGGCTCTAAGCCAGAAAACACGGAGGTGCTGAAATAAGGAAAAACGCAAACAGGACAGAAGCCAAGCAGAAATTAACAGAGAAGCAAATCAGACAATATACTAGTGCCAATCAAGAATCTGGCTTGCTTTTCTCCTTTCCTCTAGTGATCAACCTCTCCGCAGCCCCTGCTTCCTGGAGGGAGCGACCTCTTACCATTTTCACTGCCTCCTGTGGACGTGCTCAGGATCTTCCCATCTTGCCCACTGTTGAAGGTGTAGCAATTTCCATGGAGGGGATGGTGGAAGGAAGTGAAGTTCCTGAGAGAGACCATCATAGGAAACATTTTACTAGGAGTATTATGTACACTCCCCACCAGACCAAAATAAGGTCTTTTAGAAACATCATGTTTCTACTTATTTGATGAACCAAAATAGGAATTCAGCTTTGCGATAGGGTTGCTGTCTCTCCTCCTGGAGAGTTGAGGCTAAAGGCTGAGAACTTAACCGGGTCAGTTACAAACACAACATGTCAAGCTCAGTCAGTTTTCTTCCGCCACTTAGTTGGTGGAGTAAATCTGGGTCATTGGGTCAGCTTCCCTGCTGAGGTCTTGAAGACAGGTTCAGCATCCAGGCTAAGCTTGCAGTGCGAATGTAGTCCCACAGTCAGCGGGCCCTCCCCACTTAGGTGGCCAGCGACCAGCCTGCCCTTCCCCCTATCTGCTGGGGGAATCTGGAGCCGGCCCACATGCCCGCTCTCGCTTCCCCTCTGCCCGGAGCCCAGTGGCCGACCTGGCATCACAGGAGTCCCCATCAAAGAAGCAACTCAGCAGCAGCTCCTCCGCTGAATAGCTCATCCTCTCTTTCTCCTCCGCGTCGATCTGAGCCATGATGTTCATGTAGTGCAGCTTGTACCACTCCTGGATGGCATTGACACCCGAACTGAACGTATAAACGGTGCAGTCACTCTTGTTGTTGGTGTCACACTGGAAGGAACACAACAGGCAGAGGGAAGGTCCGGAGAAGGAACGCCACGGCAGATCAGCATGCCTGGGAAAGCTGTGGCCCCTTTCGAAGCTGAGCTGTGGGTGTCCCTGAAGTGCCCCCTTGCGTCTTGAAGCCCCCTACCTCTTGCTCATGGCACCTCTGCAGAAGCGTCGCCTCAAATCAAACCCTCTCCCTCACCACAAGCCTTGCCGCTAAGTCCAAATGCCATAACTGGGGGAGTCTGGCCCTCCTCGAAGGAAGAACTCACCAGCCGAAAGCCCACAATGTCCTGGGGGCTTCTGACATTCACTATGCTGGAGCTGCCCGAGATGATGCCAGCCCCAGTCCGTCGCCTGTACCCTGCAGAGACGTTAACAATGGGCTGGGGATGGGGGTTGCCCAGTTTCACCAGGGGAAACTGCCTGAGAAACTTGCTCTTCTTAGGGCTCTGACCGCCAGCATCACGGCGTTCCCGTGGCTTGCCTTCTGCTCCCGTGAAGTTATATAAGGTCTCCAGGGCCACCATGGTCTCCTTGTCCAGTTCTGCGAGGTGCTCTTTTATGGCACTGTACCTGCAGCAGGAAAAGGAGCTGGAGGAAAGGTTCAGTGGCAAGCAGATGCCCGCCCCCCTTTGTCTTCCACCTGTCCTCCAGTCCTCGTCCGTGCCTATCTGTCACCTGCTGAAAACTCCTGCCGCGCCCTCAGCACCTACTTGTAAGGGTTGATGTTGCAGATGGTCACGGCTGGGAAAGGGAGCTTCTGGAACTGCACCGTGACTGAGACAGAGGCCACGTAGTAGTTCATGACCAGTTGGGCGCAGTACCACAGGATCAGCCCTACGGCCGTCAATGTCAGCAGGATCCAGAGGAACCGGCGCAGACGTCCCCGAGACACGACGATACGCCGGCAGCCGTGGGTATTGGTGTTCATGCAGTACCAGTGCATCAACTCCTTCAGGGTGGGGGCCTGGGGCCCAGTCACAGGCAGTGTCTTCTTGATCTTGGCCTTGATCTTCTCTGCAGGAGCCATGCTGGTGGTCACTGCTCTGAGGAGGACAAAGGAAAATGAAGGGGAAGGTTATCAAGAGAGTCTGTGGCTC